GCCGGAGTTGAGAGGGGTTAGGTTTACATTTTGGAAAATTAGGGTTAAAATATTATGGATGAGAGTAAAAGCGGAATTTTATGTTGGCACAAAATTTGAATAAATAAAAAAAATAGAGGTAGAGGTTCTAAGAAAAAAGATAGGGGTAAATAGCAACCCTCGTATAAAACCCTATTCATTAATAGGGTTGTTCATGATTTTAAAGAGAGAGGGCAAAGGCTACGAAGACATGTGTGGCTAAGGAGCTTTTCTCTTAGGATTTAGATGAAACTCTACTCAAGTAGCAATGTTTTGTATTTAGTTCTAAATTTCTATTATTTGATTCAACAGTTGTATAAGATTAAGGCTTTCCTATATTATTAATTTGTTTTGAATCTTTCTACCCAGCACATATTCTTAGTTTCTGTGATTCTAACTGCATACTTATACAACGGTTTTCATTGATTTTCTTTTATTCGGTTAAGATAGTCTATGCTAGGAGAGACGATTCATGCTACTACTAGATACTGTATGCTAATCGTTAAACTGTCAATTATCCTCTAGACGATACTGTTGGGACTTGTAGTCAATAATGGATCATAGTTGAGTCGAATTATAAATCTGTAAACAGTTACAGTTCATTGATTACAAGGTTATGGTGGATTTGAAACCCTGAGTCTCTTCTATTTGATTAATACCAATTTAATTATATTTATTTTTTTAATTTAATTACACAAAATTCTTCAAAATTCTTTATAGTCATGAGAAAGAAAATAAGCATTATGGAAAAAAAATTGTGATTTAATTGATGTGGTTTCTTCATATGCTTCTTCTTACCAAGTGATGACAATCAATTAAATTTATAACTTGCAGACATAGACCTGAAATTCCAACCTATAACGATATCAAAGAAATTGCAACAACATTTTTCAAAACTCTATGTTGATCATAGTAATTCCTGCCACAATGCCCACGGTGAAAGTTCACAAACTGTGCTCCAAATATAGTTATGTGCAAAATCAAAATCTCACCCACCAACAACCAAGTCTCTTCTTCCTTCCTCTATAGCTTCAAAATTTTCAAGGTCTATTTTTCAATTATGGAAAGCTACAAAGGTTATGGAAAGCAACAAATATATTGAGCTATTAATTGTGCTCTTGAGAAGAGTAGCTCAGTTTGGTTTTGGATTGCAATAATCTTGAAGTTGAATCTGGCTGGCTTCTGTAGTTGCAGTAGCAGATGTTAGGTTCATTTGCGAGTGGATGTTCCCACCTTAATTCCAAATATACCCTCTTTCCCAATTTACCCCTAACCTCTCTACCCATCACCGACATTCCCCAATTTCCACTAGTGACACCAATTTCCGACCGCCACTGCAAATTCAAGTGAGACCCAGAACCCACAATTCAACAAACGATCCACAAATTTCAGTAACCAACCAATGACAAATCTAAAAAACACCTCTTCTGGGCTTGGCCACAACTTTAACAACACAATAGTTTTCGATTCGATCTCTCTCTCCGGTTTCGCCTCCTTCATTGGAAACAACACGCCGTCAATCCCCTAAACCAAAATTCGACCATCGGTGTGAATATCTGGGTAAAACAAGTAAGTCGACGCCCTCATTGCGCCTCTCAAACCCATAGCAATCACTAACACCGCGAACGAGAGAGTGAGGTCTAGTCCAGATCTACACAGATCTGGAAGAAGAAGCAAAATCGAGAGAGATCGGGAAAAATGAAAAAGAAGAAAAAGAAAAACAAGAAGAAGAAGGTGGAAAGGTTGGGTCGTGATGGCGAGGGTGAGCGGCGACAAGGTTGTTCGCGACGAGGCAGTGGTGTTGTTCACAATGGGGCGGCGAATGGCGGAGTTAAGTTGCGATGGCAAGATGGGAGAAGAAACTGGTTTATGTTCAAGGTAGGGATGGTCGTCGTTGTTGGAAAGGGAGTCGCCAATCTGGCTGGTGGTGAGGGATTGGGTGGTTGTAGCTGGCAGTGAAAGGCTGGTCGGCGACGGGTGGAGGTGGTAGCCGGAGTTGAGAGGGGTTAGGTTTACATTTTGGAAAATTAGGGTTAAAATATTATGGATGAGAGTAAAAGCGGAATTTTATGTTGGCACAAAATTTGAATAAATAAAAAAAATAGAGGTAGAGGTTCTAAGAAAAAAGATAGGGGTAAATAGCAACCCTCGTATAAAACCCTATTCATTAATAGGGTTGTTCATGATTTTAAAGAGAGAGGGCAAAGGCTACGAAGACATGTGTGGCTAAGGAGCTTTTCTCTTAGGATTTAGATGAAACTCTACTCAAGTAGCAATGTTTTGTATTTAGTTCTAAATTTCTATTATTTGATTCAACAGTTGTATAAGATTAAGGCTTTCCTATATTATTAATTTGTTTTGAATCTTTCTACCCAGCACATATTCTTAGTTTTTGTGATACTAATTGCATGCTTATATAACGATTTTTATTGATTTGCTTTTACTTGGTTAAAATAGTTTATACTAGGGGAGTCGAGTCGTGCCGTGAGACGACTCGTGCCAGTACCAGAAAATCTATGCTAATCGTTAAATTACAAATTGGATGATACTATTGGGACTTGTAGTTACTAACAGATCATAGTTGAATTGAATAACAAATCACTAAATTGTTACAGCTCATTGATTGCAAGGTTAGAGTGGATTCGAAACGTTGAGTCTCTTCTATTTGATTAATACCAATTTAATTATATTTATTTTTTTAATTTAATTACACAAAATTCTTCAAAATTCTTTATAGTCATGAGAAAGAAAATAAGCATTATGGAAAAAAAATTGTGATTTAATTGATGTGGTTTCTTCATATGCTTCTTCTTACCAAGTGATGACAATCAATTAAATTTATAACTTGCAGACATAGACCTGAAATTCCAACCTATAACGATATCAAAGAAATTGCAACAACATTTTTCAAAACTCTATGTTGATCATAGTAATTCCTGCCACAATGCCCATGGTGAAAGTTCACAAACTGTGCTCCAAATATAGTTATGTGCAAAATCAAAATCTCACCCAACAACAACCAAGTCTCTTCTTCCTTCCTCTATAGCTTCAAAATTTTCAAGGTCTATTTTTCAGTTATGGAAAGCTACAAAGGTTATGGAAAGCAACAAATATATTGAGCTATTAATTGTGCTCTTGAGAAGAGTAGCTCAGTTTGGTTTTGGATTGCAATAATCTTGAAGTTGAATCTGGCTGGCTTCTGTAGTTGCAGTAGCAGATGTTAGGTTGATTTGCGAGTGGATGTTTTATGTAACAAATCATATTTTCAACCCAGCTTGTAGCTGTTGGCTACGGAGGCATGCCCTCCTTTTTGTTTCTGTTTTCTTCCTTTCAAAAAGTTATTTTTACCGACCCAAAAAAAAAGGTTATGGTTCTATAAGGTAGAAGAAGACTTTGATTTCTAGATGGGGAAAAAAAGGCTATAATTAGTTTGAATTTGAAAGTTCCTAGTTGCAGGATTTGCAAAAAGTGGTTGCTGAAAGGTCTAGAAAGCATGCAATTTAGTGTTTAAATGGTTAAATTGAAAGCCAATAACTAAGGAAAGTGGTTAGTACAGTTAAAGCTTTTATTTTCTATGACTGTGAATAGTAACCCAAGAATAGCGCTTGTAAGAGAGACAACGTCACCACCACCGCCGCCGCCACTGCCACCGACAAAGAAGAAGAAGAAGAGGGTAGAATACCCAACGATTTTACCTAGACTTCCTTAGAAATTACGCCTTACGATAATTTGCACAAATTCTCCAAAATGAAACTCCATAAAATACTTAATTATATAAATATGTAGAGGTTGTTGGTCTCCTAAATCTACTAGAACTAATTAAAAAAGTGAGAAACTTTGACTAACTAAAATATTCTATTAGCTATCTATAAAACCCAAAAATATAACTTGACTCGTAAAATGACCCGTAGGCAATCCCTACAAATTATAGGCTTATAGCCAATGTCCAGCAATTTGTAAAAAAATCCAAAATATCCTTAACTACTAAAGCCTAATAAAAACAAACAAAACTCTCCAGCGCTCTAATTTATAAGAAAAACATAAAAACAAAAATAAAACTAAACGTAAATATTATATAAAGCTCTAGGTGTGTTCCATTGGAAATTTGAGAATTGCCCTTTTTCTTCTTTTCATGTTATGAATCAAGAAGAGAAGCTTATAGTTACGTGAAAGAGCTAATTACTAAGGTAGGAGAATAACATCAATGACCTTGGACAATTTGGAAAAATGAGCTACTGAGCAAAGGAAAGATCCACAAAGTTTAACTATTAATGAAAATTCATGGAGAAAATTTAGACTAGTACCAGTAGTACCATTAAGCCTTAATTATTCACTACAGAGACAAGACAAAATAAAAAATAAAATCACTATATATAGATATCAAAAGATGCAAATAAAAATGCAACATAATTTGTCTGCGTGGTTTGGAAATTAAATTTTTCAAATTACCTGTTTGGCACTTCACTGATCAAGATACTCACAGTTTAAGCTTCAGAGTGGGATAGTTTCGACTTCTAGCTGCAGCATCTGCTATTCACCTGGCAATGAGGTCAGTGCGATGGAAAATAACATTCATATTTTTGTTAGGATTTATGAATCTGATTAAATCACAACCTTACAACTAGTAACACAATAATCTTCAGAGTCTTTTTGTCTCGGAGAAGCACATTACTGACTCAAGATGCGAGGACTAAACACTAATGGTGAAACTTTAAATGCTGATAAAGTGGAACATGTCTCTCAATGTTCGTAAAATATAGCTGATTTACATTTGCAAGTGATAATTTTAAGACCACAAAGTCATAGAAGTTGATCAATGATCAAATCCATACCACCATTAATTGCAGGCCAAGAAGAGTGCAAGGTAGTGTTGAACAATCTGGAACAAGGCCTTCAAGAGCTCAAGCGTTGTAGGTTTATGTTACTTTGGTCTCATCTGTTCATAGTTCTCCACCCAACATAGTAATTTGGCCAAGAAAAAGTACTTCTGTTTGATTACTAGTCATTTCTTACTACACTACAAATTAGCGTACATTTTTGTTTTTGAACTACATGATTAACTGTGTTTATGTGCATAAATTTGATTGCTGCAAGCCTCCAACATGATAAGCACTCTAACACGCTGGAAACTTCAAGCTGTCGGAAGTATGAGAATATAGTGTAGTCAAAGCCTCATATCCCACTATCCTCCAAGTGATGTTGTGTTCCCATGGTCTCTGCTGCATGATTAAGAGACAGATCCCAAAGATAATATATTTGCAAAAACCACACAACAGAATAGAAAACATTGAAGAGTCAATACCATGACATCCATACCTGAATGTTTGCATTTCTTCCATCTGCCCTCTAATTAATCAGTCACCAGACCTTCACCAATTCTTTCATCCATCAAATTCAAATTTGATGAATAAAGAGCTAAAAGTGAGCTTTAATTCAAGGCATTGTGTTTGGTCTGACTGTTGGGCTGTTGTAATTCAGGGCTATGTAGCTCACTTTTAGCTCTTTATTCATCAAATTTGAATTCAGGGCAATGTGATCTTGGCAACTGGGGAAAATAAAAAGCATAAATCACTTGCATACCAAACAGGAAAAAGGACCTCAAATACTAGAAAAAAACTGGCAGTATAAGAGTGTTTGCAACCTCATCACTACCCTTTTGTGACAACATTACCAGTCACAAAAAAAAAATTAGCACAGAGGTTGAAAACATGAAAGTTAATAATGGTGTTTCTGTTGCCCCAAGGATCATCAATTTTATAAATTTAATAATCACTTATTGAATAAAACTTTCAGCTTCCACTTTAATCGTTCATGAGACGTAAGACTTTACAAATTTTGAAAACTTGGAGTGACAGAAGTCTAGTAAGACTAAAGGGTTGATTTACCTGGAAGAGAGTTACAAAACCATTACCAAAATGAAAATAACTAATGAATGATAGGTAATCCAAATTAAACAAATGTACAAAAATAGCATGCTCAACTGTACCAAAAGGGAGGTTGAGTGTAATTATGCTAACTATATTTTTCTCAAATATCAGGGGAGGTAAGAAAAAGGGTCTCCATAAGTTATTTTCTGAGTAATAAAAAATCCATCAATCCTCCTAAATGCCCTAATTGTTTATTGATTGCTCAACATTGTAAAACCAAAAACATCCCAATCCAAGTATACATTGAACTGTGCTTGTGGGTGTATGTAATGTATAATGTATGGTTGAGAATAAAATCGAAGATAATACATAAATATAATATCATACTGAAGATGGGCAGGTTTGCCACATTGAGCACATGATAAGGTATCTGAGTCTCTGAACATTCGTCGTGAATCGCTTCTTCATCTTCTTTTTCTTCGACAGTGACAGCGTTGTTTTGGGTTCTCTAAACACGGGTCTCGAGGAAAGAATCGACTTGGTCTCAGATGAAGGCTTTGCGGTCAAGACAAGTCGACGCCGAATTCTAACTCCAGGGTGCGCCGGACAGATCGGGCGGTGGTGGTGTTTTGGTCGGAGGTCTGGAGCACATCCCAGAGCCGATTCACCAGCTTTGAATCCGAAACCATGTTTACTATTACTCGTATTCAGATACTCCGATCCGATTAAAGAACTCAACCAAGAAAAAGAAAAAGAAGAGAAGAAGGAGTGAAATTGGTGACATATGATTTAGGGTTTGAAATGGTTTGATTTAGGGTTTGAAATGGATGAGTGTGGTGGAGTAGAGTGACTTCTGCAAAGAGTAATTTCATTTTATCATTGGGCGCAAGAGTATTTCATTTTGGCGCCTCAGCATTTCATTTTGCCCCAAATTTTTATGAGAGAGAGAATAATTTGAATGGTTTAAACAGAGAACAGGCGGGGGAATCTGCACCTTTGGTGACAAAATTTGTTTTTGGTCGGCAAATGTAATTATTTGCGACCAAAATATTTTAGTCGGCAAACTCAATATATGGCGACTAAATAAGTTTAGTCACTAAAAATAAGTTTTTGGCGACCAAAATTTTGGTCGCCAAAGATAAAAAATAATTTTTTATTTTTCATTCAACGACTAAATAGTTTTAGTAGCCAAAACTTAATAGACGGCGACTAAAATATTTTTAGTCGCTAAAAATAAGTTTTTTGGCGACCAAAATTTTGGTCGCCAAAGATAAAAAATAATTTTTTATTTTTCATTCAGCGACTAAATAGTTTTAGTAGCCAAAACTTAATAGACGGCGACTAAAATATTTTTAGTCGCTAAAAATAAGTTTTTTGGCGACCAAAATTTTGGTCGCCAAAAGATAAAAAATAGTTTTTTATTTTCCATTCGGCGACTACATTGTTTTAGTAGCCAAAACTCAATATACGGCGACTAAAATATTTGTTGTCGCTAAAAATAAGTTTTTGGCGACCAAACTTTTGGTCGCCAATTCCACAACCAACTTATTTTTAATCTTTCGCGACCAACTTATTTTTTGGTTGCCAAAATGTGACCTTCCGCGACCAAATTTGTAGTTGGTCGGCAAAAGCATACCACTTTCTGCGACTAATAATATTTGGTCGCCAAAAATAATGATCATTCGCAACTAATTAATATTTGGTCGCCAAATGTCATTTTTTTTGCGACCAAAATTTTTTTGGTCGGCAAAAGTGGTCGACAATTGTGTAAATTCTTGTAGTGTTGAGGAGTCTGGGAAATCTCTTGCAAAGCTTCTTGAGTTGAGCAACAATGATCTTTCTGCTCAGTTTGGTATGAAGAGAGGCCATATCGCCAGTTTCTTGGAAAAAAGAATCAGTTGTTATCCTTTACAGGCACCGCATTCTCTCCCTTCAACCCAAAAGACCATCACACTTTCCCGATATTTTTTTTTTTGATCGGCAAAGAAAAATTTCATTAAAAACATGAAATTTACAGGTTCAAGGAAATAATACGCACTGAGAGAGATTCGAAGAGTAAAAATTCACTCTCCTACTACTGCTACTCGCGTTCTTACAACCAACCCCTTAGTTTCACGATTTTAAAATTGAAAAAACAACAAACAAAATAAATTAAAAAACCACACTCATGAGCCCCCACCTAAAACACAGATACACACCCGAAACCACACTCTGACTCAAGCACTGTTACACACTTGAGCCCCACACCTGACCCACCCACCCTGCACCAATGACAGACACTCAACCTCCAAACTGCCGGACCCTCAGGCTCCAATGCCGCCGAGCACCCTGCACCACCCGTGACCGAAACTATTCTTGCTTCACCATCGAGAACCACCCGAGACCGAAACTACTCTGCTTCACCGCTGAACAACGACAGCCTCTACTTGCTTCACTCTCCTCTACTTCAGTTGCTGCAGCCTCCTCCTTTGGATCTCCTCCGTGACCCAAACAAACTCCTTCGATTGAAACCTCACCAAACAACGCTGGGCAGATATGATTATATCATTAACAATGGTGAGCTTATTTCTATCAACTCTAGCAAAATATAATTATATATAATATATCTAACTTGGGGGTTAAATATAACATCAATGTCACTTAGTGTACATATTTTCTTTGTTAAATTTTAGCTTATAGGTACTTGTCATCTCAAAGCCAGTTGATTTTAGCTTATTCATCTTAAAAAAAAGAAAAAAAAAAAAAACACCACTGTTGATCCATTTTCTAAATTATGCTTGTCGTCTATCTAATCATTTCGGGGAATGTTGGAGTTGATTCCATGCATTTCAAGCTTTGGGAAGTATCTGCGTTACACTCACTCCAACAATTTGAAAGAGAACTGATCGTCTGTAACTATATAATTTTAACAAAGCAAATTCTTCTTTTTGTGTGCCAAGTTATATATTTTTATATTTATCATATTCTCATGCAGCTTTGACCCACTCTGCAAATTTAATTTTAATAAAGCAAATCCTTAAAATATATATATATATATTTTTTGGTATACTTTTATATTTAAGTTCAAATTCTCATGTAACTTTGAACCATTTTTTAATTTTTTTTTAATTTTTTAATTTCAAATAGAAGATTTGTTAGGAGCAGAAGTTTGGTAATCTAAACATTTTCGGTGGTACTACATGCAGAAATTAGTATACACACTAATAGACCAACTAGTATTATGATATAATTATTGGCTACATTTATTATATTAGTTACAAATACCAAAAACCATACAAATGATGTCACATCATCTGTTAGTACATTAATGTGTATATTAATTGGTATATATAGCATTATTTAAACATTTTACATTGACCTTAACTATTGATACAAAAAACATAGTAGAAATTTTAATTGTCCTAATATTTTAATGTTTATAGACATAAGTTTTGAAATATTAATATACTAACATATAACCATGCACATATAAAAAAAATAATTTAGAATAAATTAAATTTTAATCATTTTATTAGAATATTTGCATTCAGATATAATCTTAATTAACATATATATATTTAATGAATAATAAATTCAACCGCTGGATTCTTATATATATATATATATGTATTACAGTTATGTCGTTAATTATATATTTTAAGTTTTCAATAAGAAATAGATGTCATAATTTGAAAGGTAAAGATGAAACAAATAGAATAAATCACAAAAATTATATTTATGAAGTACATTTTGTTCTATAATTTTTATTTTTTTTATAGTTTTAGTTTATTTTTATGTTAAAGTTTATCCAATTATATATAGCCAAAAAATTCATTCATGTTTTCTATTTAAATATTTTTAGATAAATATTATGATTTTTTTTTTATATTTTTCCTTACACCATGTAGTTTAATTATAATTGAAAGTAAAAGAGCATTTATAAATTAAAAAAAAATCCATGAAATGTAATTTTAAAAATAAAATTCCTTTGTTGATTAATATTATGAAATTATTTATATTTTTATAATTTTTAGAAAAAAATATAAAAAAATAAAGAGCATTTAAAAATTTAAAAAAAATTGCAAAATGTCATTTAAAAATAAAGGGTATTCACCTGCATAATAAAAAATGATTAAAAAAAATATTCCATCAGGAAAAGTATATAAAAATATTAAAATAGAAAAAAATAAAGAAAATGGTAGTTTGATCTCTAACAATATAACATTTATAATATTTTCAATCTTCTATGGTAGTGGAGTTGTTTAAGAGGATTTAATGCATCTTAACAAGTACTTGTCAACAAAATCCATATAATATTTTCAGTTCTTTATGATATTGAGGTTAATTAATATAAATAAATAATTTAATCCATTCTTAACAAGTGACCTAACCCTTAATCTAATTAGGATTAGGATCCCTTTCAGTCTAGATTTTGGATTGGAGTGAGATGTTTGGGCCTGTGGGGCTTACCACGAGTCTCATTTGATGATCTGAACTATTTATTTTGTTGGACACTTCGTCTATTTCACTAACAAAAAAAATAGGTCAATCCGATAACTGTAACTTGTTCAAATTATTGCGTTTGTCACTAAAAAAATATATAATTTATTTTTAAAAACACAATTGTTGTCTTTTTTTTTTTAGTGAAAAATTGAAAAAGTTATAATTCTCAGATCGACATAATTTTTTTTAGATGAAATACACAAGGTGTTCAATAAAATGGACGGTTCGAATCATTGAAATGTAGCCCATGATAGGTCTCACAGGCCCAAACAGCTCCCTCTAGTCCAAATCCTCCATCTAGATAATATCAGTAATGCTATGCAAACAAAGAACCAAATGCAGAAACTGTTCATCTGGACGACCGGTCGGATAACCAAGTGGTCGATCGGATGATAAGATGATAGTCGCGATCAACAAGCTTTGGCCGGTCAACTGCTCGATCATCCGGCCGATCGTCTAAATAAACAGTTTCTGTATGTGATTCTGTGTTTGGTACTCTATTTGCATAGCACTATTGAATTAATATCCATTCATGGGAGCCAGCTGGGTGTTGTTGGCTGTAATGATGAACGGGTTAAGCTTATGATATGGAGTAATGTTAGAGATTCCAAACGTTTTATCAAATATTCTATCAAATATTTTATATAGATGTGAGATCTACATATGACTCATATGGTATGAGTTTCACTCCTATATAAGACATTTGATAAAATATTTGAAATTCCTAATATTTTTATATGATACGCTAACTTCAATCAAAACACTTTCTCGGTTCTTTTCTGTCATTCAACTGTTTCTTCCTCAACAAGCTTTTAATTCTACCATTGCACGGACCTATAAATTCTAGCAGCCATTATTTTCATTTCTTTTTTCAATAATATTTGGGATCATGAAAAAATATCATGAAATATTTTATAAAAAAAATTTATCTCTTAATTAGTGTGTGATGTTTTATGATATATGTAATCTAACAGTGGGGAATGTTTTAGGATCATCTTTATGATATATTTTTTTCATGATGTCAAGTATTATCCTTTTTTTTATTTTATTTTTTTATATGGGGTGGCAGCAATTTGAATTACCCATTTCATAATAGTACTTCATCATGTGTGCATGATACATTTATGCATTTTTGCTTTGGGCTTTCCCCTGGTCAACGACCCACTGATTAAATAAGAAAAATTATTTATAAGCATAAGCTTTTTTATTAATGTAGCAATAATATTCTGAAAATTGTCACTCACAATAAGAATATATGCTTTGATTCGAAATGAAAAGAACGCAAAAGACCACACCATTTTTTATCTAAATTTATAGTCATAGAATTTACAGAGCCAAAGGAAAAAAAAAAACAAGAAGGGAAAAAATGTGTGAAAGATAGTTATATTTTATTCATATTTTACCTATTATTTCTATTTTCTTTTCTAAATTTCTATTCAAATTCATAAACCAAACATAGCATTTGGGCCTAGTCTAACAAATTAAAGAAATATAGCTGATCTTGATCCTAACCAAGCTAAGAATTTGCTAACTCTTAATAAGATTTGCAGGGTGTATCTTTGCGTGGAAAAAAAAAATGAGAAATTAAGATCACAACATCTAATTAAGCAATTATCTCATCATCCCTGCAAGTTCTGATTTTGATCTCGGTTATGTTGTTCTCACCCACTTTTACAACGTCACAACATTCACTTCTTCCAATCTACAAGATAGATAAAAAGAAAGAGTAAATAATTATGACTCGTTCATGATAGAGAGATTGGATAGATAAATAACAATGTCTTTTTCATATGATAAATTAAATTGTTTTATTTTAAAAAAAAATACTATCTTTATTTTCAATAATATTACTCAATGAGGATAAATTAATTTGTTTCCCAAATATAATTATTTCTAAAATTCCAAAAATACTCCCTTCTGCTATTGGTTTTGAATGGCATTCAAGTCAATAACTAAAGTGTGATAGATCGTATATTTCAATAATGAAAATAAATAAATAAAAATTAAAAATTGAGAACTAAAGTATAACAAACCGCATATATATGAAACATGTTTCAAACTCACCTTAGGGAGCTTTGTCGCCAGCGAGAAGACCCGAACTTTGGAGATAGAATCAGCAGAACGACTCCCACTCAATGAACAAGTTGGTAAACCCCGTGGCTTGGATCGAACATAAGTCATAACAATTTGGTTGTGCCCTTCAAAACTATCAATGGAACTATCAATGGATTCGAAGAAGAATACATGAGGAGCTTCACACGAATCAACAAAAGGTGGCCACCGTGTGTTGAACATGTAGTATGGTCGGTGTTTGAGATCTAACCATGGCAAAAATGTCTCAAGTGGTCTCTTCAAAACACTTCTTGGCAACACTTTCTCATAAATATGGGCAGAGTAGCCCCATGAAATGGAAAAAGACCAGTTGGTTTGTTTTTGGTAGCAGATGGTTTGTTGCAGCATACGGGACTGGTCGGTTTTCGCAGCTTTCATGAGGTGGTTTGCAGATTGGGAACGGTTCATGGTGGGAAAGATAGGTTCTATCTGGTCAAAATGGAGGGAAAGTATTGGAGATTGTGGATGGGATGACAAAAAACCTGATATATCACCGTGTAGATCAATCTGCATTGTATTACTCCGCACCTTAGTGACTTTTTAATTTTCTAATTTTTTTTTCTAATTTTGTTTTTATATTTTTAACTTTAAAATTATGTTTCCAAATGAGACCTTAGCTAGTGAATGTAAAAAATTAAGACTTACCTGATGAATCCCTCTCTCAGCAGATAGAGGAACTCCCAACTCATCTACACAGTACTGAGTAATCAAATCTGCTGAGTTCAAATATGGATATCTTCTTAGACACCCTTCTAAATCTTTCACCATTGCTGCAACAAGAGGATAACTCAAAGCAAATCCAGCTCCACCAAATCCTTGATCAAATGAGAACCAAATATTAGACATAAAAAACTCTGAATGTCCCCCAATGTAAACATACTTATTGTGATCATATTTTTCCAAAACATCAACCCAATTGTCCACAAAAAAGAGAGAATCGTCATCCCCCATCACATACCACCTCACCCCCTCATCACCCTCCCTAAACAACTCGCATGCACCATGTGAACCATGATTGGAGCGACATGCTTTGACTCTTCCACAATTTTGGATATGTCATTGGACACGCAAAGAGGAGGAGAAGAGGGCGGCCAGGGAGGAGGTCATCGGTGGGGTGTGTGTCGAGGAAGAGGTATCCACGTGTTGCGTTGGGGCGCCACCATGACTCGGTGTAGGCCTTTCGATGTCTCCATGCATTGACAGATCCTACAATGCCAAAAACAAGGTGGTTAAGGTTGGTGGGAGAGGAATGATTGGTATGAGTGAGGCTATTAAGTTGTTGAGAAGGTGGTGACACTGGCCATATGTGTTGGAAGGGGGTGAAGAATTGGGAAGATGGGCAGCTGGATTGGCTGAAAAAGAACAGGTATGCTAAGTAGAGGACTAGTCCTGAAATACCAAGAATTTTGCATAGGTTAACAGCAAAATTATCTAATGAAAATCTGCTCAATTTTATGGAAGTTGTTGAAGACTGCATTGTTAGGATGACGGAAACAATATGTGGGTGATTTGTATGTCTTGACTTTGTTTTGCACACATATTTATAAATAATTAGGGGGAGTTTTTTAAATAATTTTCTTTTCAATAAACACAAAACAATAGGTTTCACTTATATTCATTAATGCAGAGCTACCACCTTTATGTCTAGCATAGAACTCCACATTTTTTTTCTAGAAAAATTACCACTCTGGTATTTTTGTAAAGTTATTACAGATTCATAAAAAAGATTATAATTATAGTTATTAAAATTTATGAAATTTATCACTTATTTGTAATTATTTTTTAAAATTTACACTGAAATTTTATCTTCTTTTTATATGGTTGTTGAGGCATAGGACAGGGCTAGGCTTGGCTATTTTTTGCATGAATAATATCCCATTTTCATGTTTTTCTAAAAAAATTATATTATTATTATTATTAAAAAAGAAAAAAGACTATTTTTTTCCCCTCTTTTCAAGGTTTCATCAAAGATTATTAAAAGTTCCAAATTTGCCAAAGAAACAGAAAATAAAAATAAACATAAAACTCTTAGAATTAAATAAATCACCATATTTAGTTTTAAGTTTTCAAAAATAGTTTTTTGAGTTTTCAATTGATATTTTTGTATTTTTCATGATTTTTTAAAATATTTTAATCAAATTTTTTTTTTGAATTTTTAGATCCACTTAATTTTAAAGTAAAATATTTGTACAAAAATATTTAATAAAATAAAATATGAAATTGTACTATTATTTTTTATTTTTTTTTGTATTTGGTGAATTTTTTAATTTTTTTTCATAAATATTATACTTTTTAAGTGTATTTTGATTAGGTGCATCTAAAAACTAAAAAAATTGTGTAAAATATTTAAAAAATTCACTAAAAATAAAAACAAAATACGAAAAACAAAATACTCAATTTTCGAAAAAGTGGACTCAATTTATTTTCTGAAACAAACATGGTGATGATTTTTGTAATTTTACATGACCCTGCATAGCGATGACACATTTTAGCTTTGGAAAATGATATACAAACTCAATTTTTATACTCATTTTTTAGACTTAATCACGTATAAGTAAGATGATTAGTTGATAATTAGAAAATATATGAGAGACAAATAACACATGAGAGTGATTGGTTGATTGATTATTGAATTTGAAAAATTGGTTTAATTTTTGAATTTGAATAACACTAATTTTTTTTTTTCCCCACGACTTCTAATACGTGTAGCTTTGATTGATTTCCAAATGTTTAAGATTCTTTTATTTTCTAAAAAACTTTTTTTTTCTTTACTTGTGTTTATTTTATAACCTTGCCTTTGACCTGCTTAACCCACTGTGTTAAAATTGATGTAGTAGAGAAATGAAGAGAATGAATTATGTATTATTGATTGATGTGTATGTTGTATGTTTACAATGATATATATAGAAGAGAAGAATAGGTAGTAGGTGGAGTAGGTGAAGGTAGGTGTAGTAGGTGATGGTAGGTTTGGTGGTAGGTGTAGTAGGTGATGGTAGGTGATGGTAGGTGTGGTGGTAGGTGATAGGTTTTAACAGTCCCCCGCAAACTCAAGGGGGATATGGAGAGAAATTCTAACAGCCCCCTGCAAACTCAAGGAGGATAGAAACTAACCAACTTGAGTTTGGAGAGAAGAACAAAACAAGAAAATACAGAAAAAATAAAATAAAAAATAGGAGACACTGTATGGTCGTGTCAGACCGTTGGTGAAGATACTGGATGGTGGTGCCATAACGTGGTAGAGGACACTGGTCAGACCATTAGTGAAGATACTGGATGGTGGTGTCATAACGTTGTAGAGGATACTGTATGGGGGTGTCATAACGTTGTAGAGGACACTGTATGGTGGTGTCATAACGGTGTAGAGGACACTGGATGGCGGTGTCAGACCGATGTAGAAGACAGTTTATGGGGTCATGTCGGACCGTTGTAGTAGACAATGTTTTGACAGTTGTTGTGACAGTTTACAGAGTCTTGCTGGACCCTTGTAGAAACTAACCGGAATCAATGTCGGGACAGTTTACAGAGTCTTGTCGGACCCATGAAGGAGCTAACCGGAATCAATGTCGGGACAGTTTACAGAGTCTTGTCGGACCCCTAAAAAGTCGCACCCTCAAAAGGTGTGCCCAATCGGTCAAAAAAGGCGTGCCATCAAAAGGCGTGCCCAATCTATAAAAAGGTGTGCCATCAAAAGGCGTGCCATCAAAAGACGGGCCATCAAAAGGCGCACCCATGTTGTCGTCGAGCGCAGAGCGGCGCATGATGCGCGTGTCTGCCTCTTCGTCAAGGTCTTTATAAACTGAGGCGGAGGCTGTGCTTGAGACAGAAGCGAAGACAAAAAAACTTAGTGAAAAAACTTCTGAAAAAACTCTTCATTTTCTGAGAGAGATATTCGTTTTCTGAGAGATTGTCTCTAAGAGCTGCAAATCTTGAAACACTCTGTAATA